GCGGCGGCGGCAGCAGCAGGAGCAGGAGCAGGAGCAGCAGCAGCGACGGGTCCTCCTCCTACCTCACCCACTTGGTCCTCCTTTTCATCCTCTTTTCCTTTTCGACCGGGTTTCGTCCACTTGCCCTAGCTGCCGCCCCGATCCTACGGTACCAAAGAACTAGGGAGGCCAAGGGTGGGCCCGGCCGTTGGTGCGGGCTTTGGGCCCGGGGCCTTCCGTCCCGAAGCGGGAGGCGGGGGCGGGGCCGGGGGCCGTTGTCGGCGGGAGGAAGAGGGAGGAGACGGGAAGCCTGACAGCGGCTGCCTCCGCCAGGCTGCCGCCGTCTCCCCTGAGACTACCGCCAACTCGGTTGTCGAGTTCCCGGGCCCACGGCCGGCTGCTGGGATTCGGCCCTGCGGGGCTAGCGGGGCCGGGGCGTGGAGGCGCCGGCGTGCTGGGCTTGGCGCGGGAGGGGAGAGTCTAGACGCCGGAACGTCCCGCGCCCGGCCTGGCCTCTCCCTCCCGAATCCTGGGGCCTGGGGCGCGAGAGGAGGCGCAAAACGGGGCGCACAACTGAGGAGGGACCAGGGTGAGCGGTATTGGGGTAAATGTTTGGAACGGGTTGTGGTGTGGCATTTTCCAAGGAGCGATTTTAAGACACCTGCTTGGTTGCTGTTGTTGACGTTCTTGTTCATCTTTTCATCCACCCTTCTTTTCCTCCCCCTCCCCCATTTTTTCTTTTCATTTGTGTGTGTGTGTGTGTGTGTGTTTTACAGTAAAGGCATGATTTCCCGGCACCGCAGGGAAAATAGGGTGCAAGCCCAGAAACTCTTTCCTCACCACCACTTGTTGAAAAACTGATTTGAAGGCATCTCCGAGTTTGAACGGAAAGTGCCAGGATTTCTTGTGCCTCTGGTTTTGAGCTGAAGTCTCTTCAACTACCAAGTACAAGAGGATAAAAACTGGAAACTAAATCGGTAAACATTCAAACTTGAAAACTGACAGTGCGTTTTATTTTGGTTTAGATTCTTTTGTTGACTAATTACTGTTCTTAACTTTTTGACTATCTCGTTTGCTTAAAATACTTTGGGAAAAAAGTGTTAAAAACACTTTTGTTGGGATCTGTAAACTCGAGCATCCTCTACTGGGTGGATATTAGCCTCTGCAGTAACAAACTTTTGAAAGTTACTAGACCGTGGGATTCAGAAGACTTTCACACTAACACAAGTGATCGAGTATTTTTTGCATTATGTTTATTATTTGCAAGTTTGAAATCCAAATTTTGTTAGACTTTTCACACAGATTTAGGCATTACTGGGTACAAATATTTAATATTTTTACTAAATAGGATTACTGAGCTTAATTACTATCGCAGTGTAAAGCATTCTGTAAACTTACCGTACTGTAAATTGCACATGTCTAATAGTAATTCAGCTACTACTCACTAGGAGGAATCATATTTGTCTTAGCTGCTATTAAAACCTTAGTCTAACAGTATTTAGAATGAGAGCCATGCATTAAAGAAATTAAAAGGAAAAGTAGAATTAAAGCTAAACTTTATCAATGTTTACAGAATTCCTGTGAAATGTTAAGTTCTCCCAAGTATTTGATGGCCACAGGTGTCAGTTTCATGTTACCCAGCTGTTAATTCTCTAGTATAGATGAACAGAATATGCCTTTTTTTGGTTGTTGTTGTTATATTTATAATGCATTGCTCCTCCGAGCACACTTGGGAAATTTTCTCGAATGTATTTATATCAAACAGACTTTCATTTTGAATTCTGTCATATTCATCTTAATGTCTTATATACAAATGCAGGAGCTTATTACTGAGGGACATGACTCCAGGGAACACCAAAGATAAAGAACACTTTGTTCTTTATCACAAGTTTTCAGTGCCCTTAAAAACATGATTTTGGCAGTGATCATAAAGTTTATTAGGTTAAATTGAGAAATAAGCTGTTTCTAAGTTAAATACATGGAAAAGTAGTGAATATGATTATTCATGAAGAACAAATTGTAATTGGACATCTGTTATATAGTACACTGTATTAAGTCCTTAATTTTGTTCTAGTTATTAGTTACTCTGTAAAATATGAACAAATTAATTATAAAACTTTAATGGAAAATGGGAGAGTAAGTTGGAGAAAGTACTTGCATCTCTTGATTATCAACTTTATGAAAACTTTATTATATTAAAAGGTAACTGTGTTCTATATTTTGACTTTAAAACTTAATGTCAGTGCTGTTGTTAATTGCTTCTACTGTGTTCTTTGTAGTTTTTATCTTCTCAGAACAATTTTTGGAAAATATATTCATCTCATGTAGAATTATCCAGTTTAGTGGCCCTTCTGTTTGAACAAATTTTTGCACAATTCCCTCCATTTGTGTTCCTAAAAACAGTTGCTCCAGAATGATGAAAGGGGGAAAGAAATTCTTTTAAACCTAAATGCATACCTAAATATAATTAATAAATACTAATCTGTGATTAATTTTTCTTAAACAGTAGTGACATGTGGGATAGTTGCAGTTCTTTTTTCGTAGTTCTAATGCATTTTAATTTTGTCAAGGGAATGAACTTAGTTGTTACAAGTAGTTTAGTTTGCTTTTTTCAGGAAAATTAATACTTAATGTATGCAGTCTACTAGTTTGAGTTTAAGTTTTCTGAAGTCTTTAGTCTGTGTTTATACCTGCCTTGTGAATTTCTTCCCATATGAACTGTTAGAACAATTGTTTTTATTTCTCTTGTGTTTAAATAGCCTAATTCAAAGTAACAATGGAGCGATTCGTTGTGACAGCACCCCCTGCTCGAAACCGTTCTAAGACTGCTCTATACGTGACTCCTCTGGATCGAGTCACTGAGTTTGGAGGTGAGTTGCACGAAGATGGAGGAAAACTCTTCTGCACTTCTTGCAATGTGGTTCTGAATCATGTTCGCAAGTCTGCCATTAGTGACCATCTCAAGTCAAAGACTCATACCAAGAGGAAGGCAGAATTTGAAGAGCAGAATGTGAGAAAGAAGCAGAGGCCCCTAACTGCATCCCTTCAGTGCAACAGTACTGCGCAAACAGAGAAAGTCAGTGTTATCCAGGACTTTGTGAAAATGTGCCTGGAAGCCAACATCCCCCTTGAGAAGGCTGATCATCCAGCAGTTCGCGCTTTCCTGTCTCGCCACGTGAAGAATGGAGGCTCCATACCTAAGTCAGACCAGTTGCGGAGAGCATATCTGCCTGATGGATATGAGAATGAGAATCAGCTCCTCAACTCACAAGATTGTTGACAAGGAGGTTATCACCATTGTGATCAAGATAAATAATGTGGAGTATTAAAGTTATGTGTTGATTGTGTGGTTCATTTTTATATTTATTTCATTTAAAATCATGTGATGCAGAATAGCTTTGCAATGTGTATATAGTTGCAGGCAAAACAAAACAAAACCTCACTGCAAAACTTACTGTTAATTTTTGTCACCAATGGTGTAAAGCAACACTTAGGGTTTAGAGTGTGTTAGAATACCTGAAACCTGATGGTTATCTTTAAAATTGATGGTATTTCTCCTGAGATGTTTGTGCATGGATGAACTGCCCTGCTTTCTTACCCTGTTGCCATGTATGATTATTCCTTGTGAGATTACTTAATTACTTGGATTGAAGACGAATCTAGGAAATTGAAGCTGCTGCCAGGCAACACCACTCACAGTAACTTAGAGGATTTATTTGTGATTAGAGGATCCTCTTCGAAAAGGAAGGGATGGCGGGAAAGAGTTCTTCTATCTTCAGATCCCTAGCAGAAAGTGACTTTATTTCAAACTATGCTTTACTTGTGCATGATGTAGTTAGCTTAACTTTTCCTCAGTTTCTCACTGTCTTTTTTTTTTTCTTCCTTTTTTAAAGATTTACTGATCTATTTACTAACAGCTTTACGTGACCAAAAGACTAAAATCTTCTAATGTCAGTGCCAGAAGACATGGAGAATTTTGCAGTGACATGATTTTGGTCTCTTTAAACAAAAATTTTGGAACCCTAGCTTTCATTTCAAGCATTCTCTTGAACTTGGAAGCCTTTTTATTTGTCTCTCGGTGTTCCACGACTTCAAGATTTGCATTTTGATTTAAACAGGTAGATACTTTATGATTGCATTTCCTGTTTTACAGTGAATTAGTAATTATTTTTGGCTGACAGACCACATATTAAGGAAATTACTTTCTATACATTTTACTGTGTAGTTATATGAGTTTACTTAGGTAAATAGACTCACTTTTATTTGCTTTGCCTCTGGTAGTATAAAGTGTTTAAACATGGATGGTAAACAATTGTCTAGAAATACTGGTGAGATTTTTGTAGTAGAGATCTGGCAGTACCCTGCATAACTGTATGGGTAAGGAAATAATCTGTTCTTTTAAAGGTCTACCATGTTCAGGAAATGAGCTCTCTGAACCTCACTGTCCTGTAAGCTTATCAGAGTAGCTGAACCAGTTATGTCTTCATTGGAGACCCAAATTATATTTTTTAAAAATTAAACCGCTAAAAACTTGACACTGGAGCTTTAAAAAAATCTTAAATTCTCTGAAAATGTTCAATTGCAAAATAGCTTAGAGATTCATTCTGTTACAAAGCATTGACAGGCAATGCCCTATTTGACTTGGAGTTATTTTGAAGTTATCACACTTAAAAATAAAAAGCCAAAGTTAAAAGAAGGTTATGTTTTTATATTTTTTTTCAGAAACAGATTCCCATGTCTATGTTTCTTTTACAAACTTAAAGTTCCTAGTCCAGATCGTCAAAGTGCCCATTTGGGGTTAGATTTTTGTGTAGGTTTTTTGTTTTCATTTTAAAGTAAACCTGCCAATAAACAAAATCACTTGTCAGAATTTGAGCTATCCGTTTTTTTTTCATGTTCATTTATGTTAAAATAGCACAATAAATGCCTGGAGTGATGCTATTCTCATTGACAAAGCACATGTGAGGCGATAAGCAGCAAAATACAAACTATGTACTTTGCCTTTCCTTCCTCTAGTAAAGAATTTGCAGGCAACCATGTTTTAACTTGAATTATCTAAGAAGATAGGGAATAATTGAGATTTTTACCCTATTTAGAACAAAAATTTAGATAAACAATCACTAATTTTTCAAATTTCCATGTGATTCAGACTGCTCCTTATCGGTTAGTTATTAATTTGTGCTAATAGCAAACACATAGTGGCGGAACATCACTGAGTAGTCCTAAGCAGTAAAATGGATGACGTTGCACTAGAAAAACAACAATAATTCAGTTATGTTTCTAGTAGTTACAACTAATTTGATTATCATTTAGGTCCTATGTATTTTAGTATTTCTCCAGGCTCCTAACTAGTTCCCAATGATGCTGTATCTAGGGGTATAATCTATTTGTTAGGATTATATCATGTCCTTAGAAGCATTTTCCATCCATTAACAGAGATTTAATATTTCTTTACTGATTATGAAACTTTTTGTTCCCTGAAACTGTTTAACTTTGTCTCATAGTGAAATAGATAAAGCAAAATGATTGTTTTAGCCTGCTCAAACTTGTACAAATCCGTGAAACCATAGTTGGCAAATGTTAGGTATGACATGAATATCTAAGGCATATGCTGCTGTGGAAGTGAGTGGACATGTACAGAAACTTTCAATCTTAACTACATAGTGTTAGTGTGATGCTATACTATTGGAAGAGTAGCAGTTCTTTTTTCTATTTTATAAGTTGTATGCATAAACATAAGATTTGTAATGTTTCATTTATAAACTGCCTTCAACACATGCTTACCTGTTAATAGTGTTTTCTCGAAGTATGGTAGTATGTCTTCCAGAATTTCACTATATGCTTACAGTGAATAGTTCTAGCTTGTTGAAATGTTAAATTCCTCGTTGGTTTCTTTTGATTCTATGGAGCATATAGCAAGCCTGAAGAACATTGTAATCATTTTTTACAGGGCACTAATCTAGAAAAATTGTGTATGAAAGCCCATATAGCTATTCATTATCAACTTTGAGTAAAACTAAAAAGAAAAAAAAAAAAGCTACTTCGATTTGATGCGTTTGGCCCTACTAAATTTTCTGGGACCAGAAAAATGAAAGAACAATTTCTGCATCTTAAAGTTGTAGCCAATTTAAGAGTCTACTTGGGATTGTTCTAAAGTATTCATTGTTTAAAACTATTGTAAGTAACACTTGGCAAGATCTCCAAGCAGAAAGTTCCATGTTAAAACTTTTGCCTAAAAGAATTTGTATGTGAATGTTAATGGAAAACACATTTAAACAAAATAAAATTTAAGGTGGCCCAAAACAAAAGCCACAAACAATTCTTCATTTTGGTGCTTAGTCTTTGTAAGGGCTCTCTGTGGTTTGACTTGCCCCAACTGCCTTTAACTGCATACAGATCACCTTAAAACATGTTTTTTAAATAGAAGCTTTGTTCTATAGTTCTTTAAAAAAAAAAAAAAATAACCCTAAATAAATTGCTTTAACATCTGGTCAACACTGATTAAAATGTGAATAGTGAAGTGGCTCTTCTAAACCTTGGTTTATCTCAATCCATGCTATCATACTAGACTTCTGAGGTAAATACAATTATCCTGTTTGTACCCATAATACTGTATTCATTAAAGTTTTACTATGTTTAGTTTTGTATTCCCATGCTTTTTTTTTTTTGCTCACGCATGTATCATTAGTATAAATGTCTCTTATTAAAGCTTTGTCACCATGACTTTTAGAAATAAATTTCAAAAATTTTTCAGAATTTTTTGAAAGCACATTTTGTTTTATGAATCAGTAACATTTTATAATTACAAAATATTTATAGAATTTTACTAATCTCTGGAATTATTAACCCTTATGGCCAATATAAAGCATATACTCTGCGAAATAAGATTCACACCATAGCTAAAGATAATCCACTCCCAAAATTATTTAGGCAGTATTTAAATAAACAATGCTTTTATTTGGAAACTTAAGTTCCTACACTTACAATGACAAACACCTGATTTGCTTTTCAAATATATTTTTCGATTTCTGAAAAACTTAACTATATTCTAACTTATCACTGGGGACCAAAAATTGCATACAAATTGCAAATGTCTTGCCTGTTAGTAGTTTTATGTAGTTTTCAATGGGGAAAATATAAAAGATTTTTCCTGGGGTGAAAATAGTAGAAAGTTCCTAAATTAATCAACACTTTCTGCTTCCAGCTTAATGTTTTCATTTTTTCCATAGATCAGTTTAACAACTTTTATTAAATGTAAGCCAATAGAATGTATGTTCCTCTGGGTATCAGGAAAGTTACCTTTTTGTCTCTCTAGGAAATAAGTGCATATGATACATAGCATGTCTTCCACCTGAATACCTCTCCAATATATTACTTCATTTCACTTGTTTTAAATACATATTAGATTAAGCATTAGCTCTCCTTTACATGTTAGAACTAGATCATTTAAAAACCTATGTAGCCTGTTCTTGGTTAAATTTAAATAACATACAATCAAATAGCATTTAGTATGTCTAGCACATGCCTAACACTTCTCTAACCACTGGAGATGCAACAGAGAAACATTCCTGACTTCAAGAAGCATTCCTTCTAGTGATGATTCATTGCCACACTATAGTGACAACCAGGGGAAGGAGGCGGGAAGGAGGATGGTAGCACATGGGAAGGGGCATATCATCTATTCTTAATGTTTTCTTGGCAAGGCACATGAAACGAAATAGTTGCCAGCCAAATAGTTGTCACTGGTTTCATCTTGATTTTCAAAGTGTTAATGCACAAAAGAAACAAAAACTGAAAATTTGCAGAATACATGGTCTGCATATTCTTTGAAAACCTGCAGTTTATATCACCCATAAAATGTCAATTTCCAGATTAAAATCTATTTTGGGGACTGACCAGAGTCTTCAAAATGAGAACCTATCACATTTTAATGCAATGCCTATCAGAAAACAAGGCCTGCATTGAATATTGGATATCTAGCCAGTCACTGTGCACCTTGTTGCACATTAACCAATTATAATCCAAGCCCCTAGCTGCATATGTGTATCAGATGACAGACTCTTCAAACTTCTCTGTTTAGCATTAGTGTTTTTATTTTCCCATTCCTATTATGCCTCAATACAGCATTTTTATGTAGTTAAAATCAGTTAAAAAAAATGCAACTTTTATGGCTGTTTAAATGGTTGTCTACCTCTGCACCAGTGTGCTGTGATTCCTGCCTCAGATAATTTTTCTTTAAATGATAATAGTTTTTTTCATTTACTGTATCCTGTATTTCTAAATATACCAAAGATATGACTGACAAGTACCTTCATGTGACAGATAACTTTAAAATTCTGAAATATGTCAAACAATTTCATTGATTTTCCTGAAGTCTTCTTCCTCCTACTCATATATGAACCTGTTTTTCTCTTTTCTCGAGGTCTAATATCATTGGTCATCCAGGGATGTCACTTAGCTGTTATCCTAACTAGATCAGTCCTATCCTGTATTCCACAGCCTCACTTATTTAATCCATCACTTGGTTTAAACACTTACTCCAAGAACTTCCTAAGAAAGAATGTATGGAGGGCCTTATTTCTTCAAACTTTGTATGACTGAAAATAACATGATTTATAACTGATTAACTGAATTTTGGTTGGGAAGATAGAAAATCATTTTCTTTGATCATTTGAAGACATTTCTCTATTGTTTCTCAGTACTAAGTAGCATATTTTCTTAAACTTATTTCCTAGTTTATAAAATGAATTTATATATTTTTTAAATTCTATCTATAATTACATATATGTGTGTGTATAATTCAAAGATTGTCATGATTCTGCTAACCTATTGCCTAGTCCCACCGTGAGCATACACATTTGAATCCACTATTCTGTTCTTAAATGTAAATACAAATAAACATTTGCTTCAGAAAACAACAAAGCAAATCCCAGGATGACAGCAGTTTGGACCTAGTAAAAAACAAATTTCAGAGTGGGTCAAGAAAAAAGATGACTGGGAAGGAAAGCACCCAGGAAAATAATGTCTGTTTAAGTGATTGGAATACATATAGTTTTATATTGTTAATATTATTTATTTCCTCATTTGCTCTCCTTCACTTATTCTATTCTACTTTTGATTTTAATGTACCTTATTTTCTGTAAATTCTCTTTTCATAGTATCCTGTTTATGATTGTATCACTTTACCTTCCTATGACTATAATTGTTTTTAAACTTTCTTCTGCTCTTGCATTGTCTCTGCTTTCTTCTCTTTCTAGTTGGAAACATTTAACTATCCAGTAATTTTAGATGCCCTTTACCATTTAAGAACATAATAGTAGATTCAAATCCCTATGTTCATGGTGGAGCTAGGCAATAGATAATAAAAAGCAAAACAATCTTTGAAGAACTCCAAATGCTTGTTTTTGAAAATCTTTTACCTAAGTACTTTTAGTATTTTCAAGCTCATAGGAACAGAGATATAAAGATTGTATAATATGTACAATTGTCGGGATTTTGAGAGCAGCATAAATAAGGAAGCTCTCATGGGTTGAATTGTGTCTCCCCCCCACCACAACAAAAATGCATGTTGAAGTCCTAAACTTCAGTAACTTAGAATGTGACCTTTACCGAAGGATAATTACAGATGAAATTAGTTCCAAAAGGTCATAGTGGAATAGGATGGGCCTCTAATCCAACATGAATGATGCCTTGTTAGAAGGGAAAATTTACAGAGGGATAGAGGGAATGAGCGGAAGAGGGTGGGAGAAAAAGTGAGAGAAAATAAAAACATGTAAACCTAAAGACAAAGATCAGATGATATAGTAAGAGACTAGCAAACAACCAAAACTAAAAGAGGGATATGTAACAGATTTTCCTGCACAACTCTCAGAAACTTGATCTTGAACTTTTAAGCTGTAAGACTAAAGACAATAGGTTTCTTCTGTTTAAACCACCAAGCTTGTGGCTTATGGCACCTTGTGACAGCAATAAGAGGAAATGAATATAGGAACTCATGGTCAATACATAAAAATTCTTTAAGTCCATGTTGTTAGCCTCTTACCTCATCACACCTCTCTATCCAACTGGTTTTACTGAATCTGGATCTTCTCTGGTTCACTTATCAGGGAATAACCTCTGGTCTCATACTTGGTGAGGGATGTGGATTTGTGAGTGGGAAAATTATTGCCTACTTATATGGTCTGGAGGTGGGTATGGATCACCCTAAGAGTCTCCCTGAAGACTTCAGGGGCCAAGCCTCTTCAGGTTTTGTCAGGTAAATCAACTCTCTTCTTCCATTCCCGACAGACACTTGTTGCCTATCCAACTACACTCTGTCTTTTGAAAGATTAAGAAATTTCTCATGTGCTATATATCCTTTTCCATTTAATTTGTCCATGTGTGTTATACACACACACACACACACACACTTTTAACTCAGTTTCATTTTGTGAATTTTTTTTTTTTTAAGATTTATTTATTTGTACATACAGAACTGAGGTACAGGCCAGAGGCTCAGGGGCGGTGAGAGGCTTCACCAGAGACAGTGGGGAACAGAACAGGCAGATCGACAAAGTACACTGCTGAAGGGAGCAGCGGGCGGGTCAGGAGAGGTCTGCCACACCATGTGGTCACCTCCGGGGCAGGCGGGAATCGAACTCATGCGGAAGTGGCTTTAGCTTCTCAGTGCAGTGCTTTAACCCGCTGCGCCACCAGGGAGGGCCCCATTTTGTGAATTTTTATGAGAGAGATAAGTATATGGCAACCTGAAGTTCTTTTTCTTTGCTTCTAGTCTGAGTGTGTCACATGTAAACATCAAAACAGAGTGTAAATAATGGGACAGCCCAGATACACATTTGCTTCCCTTTGTGCCTTCAAGTTCCTTAAAATCTGAGAAGGAACTTACAGTAGTTTTAGAAAATAAAAAGAGTATCATGAACAGATAAGATAACGCAAGGATTTCTAGACAGTGGAAAAATTGGTTGCATGGACATTGGAAAGTAGAGTGTATTAGTTTAAATAAAAAGTGAGACAGCAAAGATAAGCCAAAGCCAGGTGCTTAGAAAACCACATCCTGAATAAAACCACTTCCAAATTCAGAAAAGAACTAGAGAAATAGGAAGTTCAAAATAAACAAATATGAAGAGCAGGATATTGTCTCTAAATAAGCATCAAGGTAAGTGTCTAATAAGACCAGATAGATGAAAATACCTTCCAGGAGGACTGGGGCAAGGTCTCCAGAAGGCTGTATATACACTGAATTAGCAGTTACAGTGTGGTGTCTCCTATAGTCAGTGTTGAAATCAAGGTGTGGACATGAGAGAGACACTAATCACTATC